GAGAGCATACGGACTCTTCGGCGCCCGGAAAGATACATGTCGGCCACCGGAAAGCGGGGCTCAGTGTATACTGGGCTTTGACTGCATCAGTTGAGCTACAAAATGCAAGTTGTACCCTAAGTCTGCCACAGCCTGCCTACTTGGTGGCATTGCTGAGTTAACCAAGAGGAAGCTGTCTGCATCTTTAATATGTCCAACACCTGATCGATCACATGGCGAGCTTCCTGGTGTTTTCTCGCGCGCTTTCCGTGTTGTTCGCTCGCCACGGCAACTTCGGCCACCCCTTCAGGGTTCGGCTTTCGACGCGATTCGGAGCGGCGATTCGGAGCGGCGGTAGACCCCTCGAAGGAGGCCAAACATGGCACAACAAAGGTGCAGGTCTCGGAGAAAAAAAAACAAGGGTTTCCCAACATATGCAGCCATTTCACAACCAAGGTGCAGGTTTCGGGGGAAACATATGTGGTTTCCAAACAAGAAGCTAAGCAAAGGTGATTCCAAGGACCAGCCAGGCGAGAAGCAGCAGAAAGCTACTGTGGGTCCCGGCCAGGCTAAGCCATCAAGAAAACCTGAACAATACTTGCTGGTGCTCAACAAGAAATGAGTCGGAATGACCTATAAACCATCCCCGATTTGGGGGGAGGGGCCGGGGGGGGGGGGCCGGGGGGGGGGGGGGGGGGTGGCCCGGGGGGGGGCCCTAGGTTCGTTCCCAGCACCCGGAAGGTCATTCCCTACCTATCGCACCAGCAAGAATATGGAACTTTGTAAGTCTCTGTCAAGGCACCAAATGGTCCAAGGAGCCCGTGAGTTTGAAAGCCTCTGCCCTGACATCCAAAAATCTGGTGATGCCGAAACAACATGCAATAGCGTCAGGCTGGCAAACGTCTGGGGACCGGCCCAAACAAGATTGTGGTTTTCCGCTTGGCTTCCCTTTGCAACCAGCAAAACAAAGCTTCCCCCTAAACATGACAGACCCATATAGACATGCCATGCCGTGCTCCGCAACCCAACCGGATGGAAATTGTTTTCAAGGCAAAACAGCAGCCACCAGAAGGGCTGGCCCTCAAAAGAAACACACGCACCACATGGGCTCGTATTTTTGACGGGTACTAGTAGTACCACTATGCGTAGTGTTAAGGGCAAGCAAAAAGAAAAACGCCAACGATGCTTTGCTGACGAAAGACGCACCCATTTCGTTTCAGGGATCCCGTTTTTTCTAGGAGCGACAGTCGAACGTGTCGTTTTCACTCTTGCCTGTCTCAAAATGTGCAAAAAGGGAACACCCAAAAACAATCAGATAAGTTCCTGTTAAAACCAACCAGGGAAAATAAAGACATATTCCTAAGCAAAATGCAAGCCTCCGGAGCTTCCGGGTCCTGTCAACCTTCATCCCGAGCTCTCTGCAAGTGTTGGTTTTTGCTCGGACAGGCGTCAAACGACCGGCCACATGGGACAATGTGTGCTTCTTTTCTGAGGGTACCTTCCTCTTGATTTTTCAGGGAAGCCAAAAGGACACCTTTCCCACTTTGAGTCCAAATCCCGATTTTGACACAAGACATGCACGCCATCCAGCCCCCGACTTTGCATCATTCATGATGCGCGCCTCATCCGCCATTGCGATGTTTCAGCTTCTTGCGAGGTGTGTCTCAAAACGCTTTTATAGTTGAAAAACCGTTTGGGCACACCAAGAGGATTCGCCTCACCATTTGGGCTCGTCCCTGATTCTGCTGGTGTTCCTTGCCAAAAGGCGCGCCAAAAGCATTAACTAGACGTCCGACGCAAGACTTTGGACTGCTGAAAGCGCAGCAACGCCGGTCCATTCCACATTGCCTTCTTCGAATGTCCGGTTCAAGTCAAAAAAGACATATATCGGTTTTTTGGGTCAGCCCATTTAATTGCATGCAAAAAAGACCATTTGTTTTTGGGTCAGCTTTGTTTGCCTCACGGAAGCCAAGCAACCAACCGCCGAGGGACATCTTTCCGCGGCTCCGTTGCGAAGGAGAATCTGAAACCCATGTGTTTTTCTCTGAGCCCAAACGGCACAGATCTCATAGATCAAGTGGGTGTGCGCCTTTTTTTGGCACCCCTGTTCTGGTGGTTTTACAGGGGAACCAACAGGAAAACCACCTTCCTTGTTTCCTTTTTTGGGAATGAGTAGAGGGAAACCAATGTGGTTGTTTTTGGGGGGGGCCTGAACAAAGAGATACCCAGGTGCGCGATCCTCGGATGCTGGAGCACAACCTCTTTGGCGTAACTTGGCACAACTTGAACAAACCCAAAGTGAGTTGTTCGAAGGCAAGCAGGCTTGCAAGATTGCGCACTCAAAATCCAGTTGCGGCTGCCGCTTCTTAGTCATCCCCCATTCTGTTCCCAATGCTCTCAAAAAGCTCCCAAACTGCCAGCCGATTCCGCGGCTCCAAACAGTACAGTTTGCCACTCGGATGTTTGTTCCACAGTTTAACCCAGCCCGCCCCGCAGTGTTGGTCGGCACAAACCTGTTAAACTTGGCAAGGGGCAAGCCCCCTCGGGTTTGATTCCTCAGACTAAAAGGGGAAGGCACTGATGCCGGCGACCCGGTGGTGTTCCCCTCGACACCTAGGGTCCATGAGATGTCCCCTTTACACATCAGCAACCTTTCAGCGGAAAAGAACATTCCATTGGAAGCGAGCCGCCAAATAGTGACATTTCACCCAAAAACGAACCGAAGTATGAGGCCCCCTGCTTCTGGTTAATCCAAAAGTAAACCCGGCCCAAAATAAGGGAAACGCAAGTGCCACTGCCACTGGACAACATCCAAAAACCTCGGACGACGTTGGTTGATGGTTTTTCCATAGCGGAAAGAGCCAGGAGTTGCCCTTGTCACTGCTTGTCTGAAGATGGGGACTCCGTCGCAACGGGGACACTCCACTTTATTGCAAGATGCAGCGGACATGCTTGCGTTGCATTCGAACATAGTACCCGCAGGAAAGACAAACAACAACGAGTAAGCGGGGAACAAGATGCATCCAGTCGGAAAACAACAACACACACGCCTAATGGAACCCTGGACTAGAAAACCCGTGGTTGGGTTCATCACTTTTGGAGGGAACACCCTCCTATCAATAGGACTCAAAGGGTTGAAAACAGCCGGTAGATTTTCCTGTAAGCACACCCTTCAAAGGACGGGTTTACTATTCTCCCCTAATAACGAGTTTTTTGATGTTGACCCCATACTAATCAATCCCACTAAACCCAGGGACACCCCCCTATTCATAACCTGAGTCACAATCAGTATTAAATGGTCTACCCTGAACCATTTAAAGAACTAAGAGGGCGGCCGCAGCTGTTTATGGCTGGGAGCGTCCCTTACTAACCTTCACCTACCCAGGCTTTGATTGTGGCTCAACTGGGGGTGATTCATATGGGCTCAACCACATTTTAACGAGTTTATTGATGTTGACCCAACACTCAACTCCACTAAACCCAGGTCAACACCCCCTATTCATACACTGGGGTTGATTAATATGGGGTCAGCCACATTTTGGGGGTCAACACGACATGCTCTCTGCAGGCTCGTGTTTCCTGATCTCTCACGCCGGGAAGAGGTCCACATAATCGAAGGGCCGGCGCTCAATGGCAGGGAGGGCACCTGGGAGCGAAGCGGCTCGCTTCGCTCGGGCCGTCGAGGGCTCACCTGCATGGTTCGTTTAGGTTCCACCAAGACTTCGGGTCACTGCAAAGAAAACACATTTCCGATGTATGAAATACGTTTTAATACCAATAGAGCATGATTAAACCCGAGTATCGGGTAGATGTGTGTACATGCTGCTTAAGGATACTTTTCTTCAAGCGACTATGATTCAGGAGTCTGGGTGACTTACGATTCACAAGCCTAGCCTGAAAAGCAAGAGGTCAATTGAAATTTGAGGTCGCAACCGCCAACTCCAGGTAGCCGTTCACAAGCCTCTCATGAAGAACTGGACCAAGTTCGATGCTTGAGGATCGTATACTGGCTTCCAGTCATTGCTATTGAAACTAACTAACTTGAGTTGGTTTTGTTGTTCTAGGCTAAGGGTTTTGGGGTTTTGGAGATTTATTTCGATTCACCCTCTTCCAAACATTGCCACCAGAAAGCTCCCCCACTAGTTCCATAGTGGCCTGGGTGTTTCAGTCTGACTTCCACACTTCAGATTCAATACCGTCAACAGGAAGCAAAGCACACCATTAGGCCAAGGACCTTGGCTTTGCAGGCGATGAGCTCTGCTTCCTGTCAGTGCTGTTTACAATCCTGATAACAATCATCCCAATGCCTAGTGGGCAACCAACCACTTCAAGCAAACGCCTCCATTCGTTTGAGAAAAAAAAAAACGTTTGTTTAAGCGCAGGTATGTCCCCTTTCGAGTTTCATGCCCGGGGCTGACGCTTCTTGAGTCGTGCTTTCAAGGACTGTCGTCATGTAACACCCCGGAAGCGCTAAACAAGTCTTCATGTAAGCCATACCCGTTTGGGTAGTGTATAGCACAGGACACGGAATGCATGTCCTGAACCCCAAATTTAGTTGCCAATCCATTGCCATCCCTTCTGGCTTTTGGGAAGCCAAAGGGCTGTTCAGTTGCGGGGTTCCCTGTACTTCCCCTTTGGTCTTGACCTGTTGGTTGTTGGTTGAACACTATGTAATGCAATGGGTTTCTCAAGGGAACCAGCAGAATGGGTGGTGTCCTTGTGGTTTCCCTTCAGGCCAACCAAGCAACACACACCCAAATTGAGCGAAACCGCTTGGGCACTACAATTGGTGGAGTCACAAAACCCTCACTGGATCGATGAGAGGGCTCGCATAGGGGGATCTTTGCCATGGAGGGTCATCCAAGAACCTCTTCTGTGTCCTTTTGGTTCCTTCTGGTTTCTGCTTAAACCAACCAACACGAAGAACACCCATTCCGAAGAAAAACAACATGGGTGGTAATTGAGCCCGAAATGGCCCGAACATCAAAATATCGTTCGGGATTTATACTGTGCACCAACCACTTTGGGAGTTCCAACTGGTAGAATTCAAATCGCCATATGGGTGTGCGTCCATTTGTTTGAGGCCAAGTCAAATAGACAAAACCAAAGGAACACCCACCATCTTGTAGGTCCCCCTACTTGTTTTCCAAAACACACACCAAAAAAACAAAAACACAAATACACACGCACACACACAGACACAGACAGACACAGACAGACACACACAGACACACACAGACACACACACAGACACAGACAGACACACACAGACACACACAGACACACAGACACACACAGACACAGACAGACACAGACACACACAGACACACACAGACACACACACAGACACACACACACACAAAGAAACACACACAGACACACACAGACACAGACACACACAGACACAGACAGACACACAGACACACACACACAGACACACACAGACACACACAGACACAGACACACACACACAGACACACACACAGACACACACAGACACACACAGACACACACAGACACACACAGACACACACAGACATACACAAACACACACAAACACAGACACACACAGACACACACAGACACACACAGACACACAGACACACACAGACACACACAGACACACACAGACACACACAGACACACACAGACACACACAGACACACACAGACACACACAGACACACACAGACACACACAGACACACACAGACACACACAGACACACACAGACACACACAGACACACACAGACACACACAGACACACACAGACACACACAGACACACACAGACACAGACACACACAGACACACACAGACACACACAGACACACACAGACACACACAGACACACACAGACACACACAGACACACACAGACACACACAGACACACACAGACACACACAGACACACACAGACACACACAGACACACACAGACACAGACACACACAGACACACACAGACACACACAGACACACACAGACACACACAGACACACACAGACACACAGACACACACAGACACACACAGACACACACAGACACACACAGACACACACAGACACACACAGACACACACAGACACACACAGACACACAGACACACACAGACACACACAGACACACACAGACACACACAGACACACACAGACACACACACACAGACACACACAGACACACACAGACACACACAGACACACACAGACACACACAGACACACACAGACACACACAGACACACACAGACACACACAGACACAGACACACACAGACACACACAGACACACAGACACACACACACAACACACACAGACACACACAGACACACACAGACACACACTGACACACACAGACACAGACAAACACAGACACACACAGACAGACACACACACACAGACAGACACACACAGACAGACACACAGACACACACACAGACACACACACACACAGACACACACAGACACAGACAGACACACACACACAGACACACACACACACACACACACACAGACACAGACAGACACACACAGACAGACACACACAGACACACACAGACAGACACACACAGAGACACACACAGACACAGACACACACAGACACACACAGACACAGACAGACACACACACAGACACACACAGACACACACAGACACACACAGACAGACACACACAGACACAGACACACACAGACACAGACAGACACACAGACACAGACACACACACAGACACACAGACACACAGACACACACACACACACACAGAAACACAGACACACACAGACACAGACAGACACAGACACACACAGACACACACAGACACACACACAGACACACAGACACACACAGACACACACAGACACAGACAGACACACACACACAGACACACAGACACACAGACAATCACACACAGATCTGCCCACCATACTCGCAACATTCTGCGCTGGTCCTCTCCACTCGGCCTCGCTTCTTCCAAGCGCCAGGCCCTGCAAGGCCTCACGGTGCTTCTGCAGCGCCAGCGTTGCTAAGGCCTCGCGGCTAGACGCTGGGCTCATCCCCAGTAAATACCAACAAACCAATAGTTTCCCATGGTTTGCATGCTCCCTTGCCCAAAGGACCTCTAAGAAAAAGGTTAACCTTTTGGGGCCTCTACTAAAAATAGACCAAAAAGGGAAAACCAAAGGTCAAAAAATCGGCTTTGAACAACTGAGCATGTGGTGCGAACGGTTTTCGTCCATCCACCGTAGGAACAACCTCTCTTGCGAGGGATCAACGAACCCACTGAGCTTAGGATGAAAGTAGATATCCAACCATGGCGGGTTCAGCCAGGTGCGAAGAGAATCCCAAGCCAGTTCTACTGAGATCACCCCCAGCCCGAGTTGAAGTAAGTCAGCCTTCCATGTGCGAATACGTCCCTTGGACCGACGTGAGGACATATTTCCAGTAGTGAAATTCCCTTCACATCTCCCAGCCACAACATGCCAAATTGTCTGAGAGGTTGGGATGTTGACCCCCGACGAGTCATAGGACTTGCCAGTCGGACTTGCAACCTTGCTGGACATGATTGAGAGCCGCCGGGTGGGGTAAACTATACACTTCCCGATGAAAGGAAGGTCTTGAAAGGAAGGTCTCGATAGACTGATTTGAGTGGCCAAAAAGATTCAGAGCAGCATGATCCTAACTTGCCCCTGACCAGTCACCAGTCACCACCTGTTGCAGGCTGCGATGGCGTCCTTGTGGCTGAATGGTCTGTGACAAATGGGTAGCTTCTTTTTTGGCGTCCATTTAAAGATCAATGCAAAGAGCTAGCATCACAAAAGCAAAGCATCAGGCCCATATGTTGCTAGTTCGCTATGGCTGTCCTTGCTGTAGCTCTGAATAGTATGTGACAAATGGCATTTTTGTTCCTTTTTGGCTTCCGTGCAAAGGTCAACGCAAAGCAAAGCATCAGGCCCATGTCTCAGAACAATTGTCCCCTAAAAAGGTTGGGAACCGTTCAGCAGTACTGTCAGTTGGCTGAAACATGAGGTTTCTCCTCCTGTGAATTGTGGGCAATATGGGTCAAGCACGTGGTGCAAAATGGATCTTGCCCATTCACACTAGAAAACCCTTGGAAACGAACCTTTATTCCTTTTGTGGATTGGCCCCACAAAACATGCCTGTATTTGAGTCATGACCGAGCGGTACTGAAATAGTGCACCCGGAACCATGTTTCAAGAATCAACAAAGCGGATATCTGCACCCATTCATGGCAAGGGGATTATCACTTACTCACCTTCATCTACCCGGGTGTCCACTAAGAAGATGATACTTCAACCACGAAATGGGAGAAGCTACCCATGGTCAAAACTGGGAGCCCTAAATGAACATATATTTGATCAACCCCCATGTCTGTAACTGAAATCTGGGCTCCGTCAGGACACCCACTCTCTCGCCTCCCGCAGCGAGGTTTGCTCCGGCAGAGGGGCCTGAGCTTTTTGCGCACGGATTGAGAGCAAGTCCTTTGTGCCCTGCGTCAGAGCACCTTCCAGGGAACCGGTCCCTTTGGGCTGTTCGACATGGATTGGCCAGCCCGATTTTCCGTATCTAGGTCCTCCAGTAGAGAGGTTTAACTCAGTTGCCTCTCAAGCTGGGCTGTTTGAATCCTTGGTCCTTGAGTCGCTTTGTAGTGGCTTCCAGATCTAGGTCCCCCAGCTAGGTGCCCTTTTACCGATTCTTTTTTGGGGGAGGGTTACCCTACTAAAATAGACTACGGACAAGTAATCGGGTACCCTTATTCGGGACCCAGAACCCTGTAAAGAATTGGCCATGGGTCAAAAGCCCGTGCCCCCAGTGAACATCCCAATCCCCACTAAAATGGACTAAAATGGGTGGTGCACCTACCCCAAAATGGTACCATTGGTTTTGACCCTTAGCCAATTAAGAAGGCGGTCGCAACTATTTCTGGCTGGGACTGCCCCTTACTAACCTTCAGCCTTCTGTTTGTGAAAAGGGTACGTTCCAATCTAGAAATCCGGACACCCCTTCTGGCCCTTCATGGGTGAGCTTGTGCTGTTTTTACACCACTGAGCCTTTTTGTTGGCCCAGATTGCGGAGTTGGGCTCGTCTCAAAATAGGGGCCCTCAAAATTGGCGGGTTCCTTTTGTTGCCTCAGAAAAAGGGCCCCGATTTCACTCACACCCAAATTGGGGAACCGAGGGATCCGGACAAAAGACAAAGAGACGCTTTGGGATTGTCTCGAACTTGGAGGACAAAATATCTGGCTTCCTTTTGGTGTTACCCTCCCTCCAACTAACATGGCACCTCACACAAATAGACCCTTCAGAAGCAAACTACTTTTCCAGGTACCCTCCAACAGGTGCTATGTTAGTGGGAGAGAGGGTAACCTTCAACTCGAAGGCAGGATCCCTCTCGCCTAAATGCTCACAAAAATTCACCCCACAGCAGGCCTTTGGGGTCTGGCAAGCTTCAGGGCTGTTGCTCCAATGCCCTCGCAACAAATCGTGTTCATCTGTTTTCGTTGGCTGATTCCGCCCCGCCAGCGCCAGGCAGTCAAGGGAGTCACGCAAACCTAGGGCAGTTCGCACCATCCGAAGGGCAGTTCGCACAATGAGCTAAAGGTTTTTCTTAGCTTTCTTTTGCCTCCCAGATTCCCACCACCACTAAAGTAGAGGGTTGACAAGGTTTGACCAAAAACCCTACCCAAGCCTTTTTTGGGCTAAAGCCAAACAATCTGCCAGAAAAGGGAGCTGTCCTGTTTGCTTAGTATTTTGCTTAGTCCGCGCTTTAACTACCCACCAAAACTAAGCCACTAGGAAGATCCCCTCAAGTTGTCCAAAAAAAATGGCTTCCCCCACTCAGATGCCCAGTGGCCAGGGGAAAAAGGCCATCGACTTTAAATGGGAACCATTCCCAACAAAAAAAGAAAACAAGGGAGCAAACTACTGGGCAACTGGGCCCAAAGTGCTTACACAAGTTGTTTCTTAAAATGACAAGGTCTTTCAAAGGGAGCCCCCGACCCCAGGCCAACACCCCCTCAACACAAACCGCTATGAATCAGGGCCCAACACCTTTTCTCGTATGTCCCTTGAAACACCCCACAAAGGGTTCTCTTATCCCCAAAACATGATTGATAGCACCCAAAGAGAAGTATTCTGGGCCAGACTTCGAGACCCTGCAAAATCGAGCCACTTGTTGCAGGAAAAATGAAGGACACCCCAAAAGGCGGAAAAGTTCTAACAGCAAGCCATCACTCTGGCCATTTTTGGAACCCGACATCCCGGCGCAGGTTTGTTCGCATTATTTCGGAGCCCCGGCATCTCTGTGCCAGGAGAAGGCCCATGCCGAGGTGTTCCTAGCGCTTCGACCCAGGGGGATTTTGGTTTTCCCCTGCGCAGGGGATGACCATTGGGAAAAGCCATTATAAAAATGTTACATCCCTGTTAAGTGGGAACAGTTACTCATGTTTCTAGGGGTTTCCAACAATTATTTTTCAGAATTTGTTCTTTTCAAAAACCGATTGCTGTTTCCCAGATGTTTTTTTTGGAAAGAAGGATGCCTGGAAAGAATGGGGAAGGTATCCCTTGAGATATAGGCCCACTTCCCATCGAGTGGAGTGGAGTTTCGCCCCGCAAAAAAAAGAAGTGGCTTAAGTCCAAGTTCTCGGGGAGTCAGTAGGGCAGTTTTTTTTTTTTCCAGCGCAACCAAACTTTTGGTTTGCCTAGGGCAGTTTTAAAAGTAGGTGGTTTGCCCATTTGGAGACCGACCCAACTATTGATTTTTCCATGCGGAGGTTTATACCTCTCAAGGGGTGTATGGCCTAAGTGGTGGACAATCCCCACCGAATTCTGTCCATTTCGGGTCCCTAGTCAATTCGGGTGTCTTTCACAATAGTTCCCCTTGGATGGTTTGAAGGGGGAAATCAGAAGGAACCCAAAAAAGAATCCAACCAGAGAAACCCATGAAGATCCCCCTAAATTTCTCGGGTCCCATCAAAGCGCCCGCCTTCGTCTCGGAAACCCTCCGGCTTCAAAAAAAGGCTCTCGTTCTCATGGCGTTTCTGCGAAACCGAAGCAAACCCTCCGGCAAAAAACGTCGGCGCTTTTCTGCGCTCGAGGTGGCTTCAAGTCACTTTTGCGGGGGTCTGGGTCCCTTGAAACAGCTATCCCACCATGACCTCTGCGTAGGGAACGTGCGCAGCCAGCATCCGAAACTGGGCTGTGCTTAGACGCCCCTGCTAAAACAGAATAACTTCTGGTGGCTCCAATTTTCGGACACCCAACCACCAAACCAACCAAAAAACTGCCAAAAACAACCAACATCAACCAAACACATAAGGAACCGGATGCCCTCATTAATATTAAAAAAAAAACATGATTTAACCAAAAAAAAAAAAAAAACGCCAAGTGACTAGTCCGCCTTGTTCACCCATGGCACCTTCGGACCATTCGGACCACTCGGACCACTCGGACCACTCCGCGTCTCGGAGCGAGCCAGCGCCTGGCCTCAACACCGGCGCCTCCGCGTAGCTCCGGTAGAGCTCCGCATCTTGCGCCACACGCAGCACGTGCGCCACTGCAGCCTGACAGGCGACAGAAGGCAACAAAAAAAAGCCGAGCGCCCCACCATCATAGATGCCCGTTTTTGTAAAATTGGTGGGCTGCCCTGCCAAATGGGGCATAAAACCAACCTAAACCAGTGGAACCCATCTATTTTCCACGGTTTCTGAGCCATTTCCCTGTTTGGAACCTCTGAAAGTGGCGATCGTTTTCGGGGAAACCACGCGTAGAAAATGATCAACTCCTTTCAAGAAGAATCCAGTGACCCCTAGACCCCTGGACGAGGACCCACCATGGTATGGTTGCAAAACTGAAGGGGGGGACCTTTTTAAGGTGAAGTTCAACTTGGTAGCGGTCCTTCTGGCTTTCCTGCACAACCACCCCCCCAAAAAAAAAGGATTACCCTCAAAGCCAATTGTTTAAAAAAAAAACAGCCTCTACCCTTTCAACGGACCACCAGCCAGGAAGTTGGTGGACAATTCTTAGCGAGCTCAGACGCACCTTGTTAACCCAACCCCGTCCTCCGGGCAAACTGCCGGGCCCGAAAGCCAAAAAAAAACGCTGCCCACCAACAAGGGACACCAGATCAAAAATCAGAAAAGAGCAACATATCGAGCTCTCCCTCTACAAAGCAAGTCTATTGCTTGACACCACCTCAAACGCATGAACTCCTTTGGGCCCCTGAAGCCCGAGCGAGCCGAAACTGGAGAACCAATGACATCGGGCTGCAATCGTAAGGACCCCACTCGCGCCGTTGCGCACTTCGGAACATGGGCCCAAGTCGTTGACAGGAACTGGAAAACCACTCGCTGGGTCATTCAGAAGTCAGGTGTCCTTTTTTACACGGACGGGAAAACATCCACTCCAAACGCCTTCGCGGACTGGAAACCGGCGTTGTCCTCTTTGAGGGCTCAAAACCACAAGCAATAAAACAGCTGCTTTTCGGGATTGTCCGTCGGCCGCCTTAAACAGAATGGCCGACCTGTCTTGTTCTAAACCGTTCAAACTTCCGTGACCCTCTTTACCTTCAGATTTGGGTTGACATTTGGACAAGGAGCCATTTTTTCCCGGCTACCTGACCAGGCCACGAGTTGGTGGCAAAACAGGATCGCCCCCGAACCCGATGTTTGAAGGATGTTTTTTTTCGTTCGAATCGCTCGGCGATTAATCTGCATGCCTCGAAGGAGATGAAGCCGTTCACGTAGATGAACGCCCTGGGGTTGAACAGCTTCATCACCTTAGCCCAGTGTTCGGAGGACCCCCCCCCAACTGGGCTGCTCTCAGATCCCCTGCTAAAAGTTTAACTTTTAGTGGGTTAAATGGAAACTACCACTAAGCCCTAAGAGCCTAAAAGGCAAAGGGGACGGCTGGGGGCCACCAAGTATTATGGCAGCTTGTTGAGTGACCCGAGGTCACCCTACAAACAAGGCTGGGCCAGGGATGTGAGCTTGGCTGAGATTGGATGGACAGGCTGCAATGGTTACCTTAGTTGCCCTTTCACCCCAAATGGGTGTCCTTTCTTCAGGTTGGACGCCCCCAAAAATGGTTTCGCTTGTTTCTTTGGTTCTCCTCTGAAACCAGAAAAAAGGGTACCCTCAAAAAAGCACAACCCCAAATGCCTTGGTTCCAACCAGAATCCTCACAACCAAAGCGAAGAAGCCGCGTGCGAGGAGTAAGCCTGGGGGTCCGCACGTACGGTGAGCCCCAGTAGATGGGGACAGCCTCATGGAATCTTCGAATGACCCAAATCCCCTGCCCTTTGGGCGTGTCTTGGTGCCGAATTCTTGGTGGTCACAGGAAGACTCGGCCAGAAGCACTGCTCAAAGAGCACGTCTTCCTTCCAGGTCCCTTCCACCAATCGGTCCAAAGTTGGGTGGACCGTTGACCATGGTGACCCTAGCAACACTGTGCGAAGATGAAGCGGACCCTGCTCATATACAGTGGGTTACAGAATGGGTACACGTCCCCGTCCAGGTCCCTTCGTCCTCCAAACGGGCCAAAATTGGGTGGTCCACGGTGACCCTAGCAATACAGCGTGAAGGTTAAGTGGACCCTCGTCATATACAGTGGGTGCGGAATGGGCCATGATGGTTATAAAGCGAAACAATGACCTTCCAGGGTCACAATCCTAGCGTCCACTCCAAACTCATTTGATTCATGTGACTCACTGCAGCCCTGTCGCATCGTGAAGCTGCCACAAAAAGGTTGCAAGACTGCAATAAAAGGGTTTGTGGTTTTTGAGGGTGTCCGTTTTGGGGTTGGTTGAAACGAACACCACAAGCAAACCTGCTTCTTTTCTGCTTCTTTCTGAGGGTAGTGGTCCCAAAAAAGAGACACACCCACATCAGGGATGTACGTGAATTGCCCAACTTCTACTGACAGAGGTGCACTGGGTGCAACTTGCAACGAATCGGCGCAAGTCTGTCGTGGGGCCATGACTAAAAATGGACAAACACTAGAATATTACACCTGACAAGGGGCCCAAGAAAGAGCCAAACCTTGCTGTAATTGCCCACCCCCTTGCCACATGTCTTTTCGGGTCTGAATTCGGCACCCGGGCTCCATACGCGCAATTGAACATGGAACCCAAAATCTGAATGGGAGGCTCATGTTGTTTTGAGGTGGTGCCCCTTTTCGGGTTAGACCAAAAGGAAAGCAACGAAATCCACGTTGGGGGTACGAGCCACCTTGATGCAAAGAGGATTCGTTTTTTGGGGGGACGTGCTTTTCAGCCGCAGCCATGAAACCAGGTAGGCCACCAGCTGCTGTAGATGGTTGCGAAATCCGTTCGCACCAGATGAAACCATGGTTGAATGCTGGGAATCATCAAACACCAGGGTTTTGTCCATCCACAGTAACTAATCAACAGGCTTTCGGGCTTAGGATCGCATTCTACAGGCACATTAAACAAAAAACAAAACAACAGAAACTAATAACAATAAAAACAGCCTAAACAGCCTAGATAGCCAAGTTGCCGCCTTGTTCCCGTCACTGTTGCCTTGTTTTTTGGGTCAAGTGGATGGAAAACAGCGATCGCAACTGGCGATCCAGGAGGTCTCTTCGACCAGGAGCTTTTCGTCGACCCTAACTATAAACATATGATACGCTTCTGGTGTCAGAAAAAAAAACCTTGTCAAGACAATTTCCCCAACAATGGACTACAAACAAAAAATGATATGTTCCTTTCAAATACCAATCCCCAACATGGATAACCCTCAAAACAACACACAACCCATGGGAGGAGACCCCGCGGCAGACCCAGAACCATACGGCGCCAGGTGACGCCACTGAGGAAGGCGTTCACAATCTTCTCGGTGACGTACCTGGCGGAACATCGATGCTGGCTGGGTGCGCTAGGTAGCTAGGTCCTCCAGTAGGGAATCGAACAAGTTGGTACCCGACTTTTTTCTGTGGTCTATTTTAGTAGGGGATTTTCTCCCAACCAACAAAGAAACGGTAAAAGTTGGCACCCACAGTAGCTGGGGGACCTAGAGTAGGGAATGACCGAGACCTGGGTGGTTGAATGAAGGAACCGAATCCGGGGATTCCCGAACAAAGGAAACCACCACTGGGCTGTCCGTTTTCTGATCCCCCGCTAAAAGTGGATAACATTTAGTGCGTTAAATGGAAATCCCCACCAGGCTGTGGCTCAAAAAAGTGGTACCCAAATGGCACCTTGGTAAATGGAACCAAAGACTAAAACCCGCGTAACCCCAGCTATTTAATTTTGAGCCATGCCCACTAAACACCAAGAAGCTAAAAAGCTAAGGAACCGGATGGCTGGGAGCCACGCAGACCCATGGTTTTGCTCGGGTCATTCCATTTCTGAGGGCCCCTGCATCTCTCGCTCCGATCGCAAGTGGGGTGTCTTTGTTCTTGAGGATACCCCATTTCGGGTTTGCAAGTTAACAAAAAAACACGAGGCAAACTGTCCGCTCCTTTCGGTGTAGCCACTTATTTTTTTGGTTCTCTATGTTCTCTAAGAAAGACAAAGCCACATGTCACTCCGAGTTGACTTGCTCTTGGGCTGGCAAAGAGGGCGACGTTGGAATCCTAGGGCCCAAAAAACGCGGACCCTCGGGCGCAGCAGTTTGGCTGGAAAAGGCTTCGGTTTCACCTTCAAGTTGTCAAAGGCGGCCAATGTGGCGGAAAGCTACTAGGTCCTCCAGTAGAGAGGTTAGAATAAGGGTGCCCGAGTTTTTTTTTCTGTAGCGTACTTTCGTAGGGGAACCCTCCCCAAAAAAGGGGTGAGAAAGGGCACGACTCGCTGGGGGCCCTAGGCTACCCCTAGGATATACCGGTCACATCTCTCTCTTCCCACAGCGGCTTTCCCGGAATTCGAATTCTCGCTCGGATTCTTCCAACGTTGGACACTCCCTGAAAATCTTCAGAGGGGAACGCGTGAGGCGGTATGTTGCTACGTACTCCTTGGGCATTTCTTTTTGCTGAAAAAGTGCGTTCACACCGCATCATTTTCCCAAGTCTCACCCTCAATGTGGCTTGGAAAACACAAAGAAGAAGCGACACCTAGGAAACAGTGCGTAGTGGAAACCTCGGATTCACAACCCCCTAGTTGATCAATAGGTGTTGGTAGTGATTCCCCCGACTCACCATATTAAGAAGCAGGGGTTACCTTGCCTCCGCCCTCCTTAGATCGACTGGTTCAACTCAATGAACATCTGGCGAACAAGACACAAACCAGTGGAAAAGAACGGGGAATCCAGCTAACCCACCAACAACACAGCACATGTCCTGGTCCTCAAGGTGCCGTGGTTCTTTTCCCCTTCAAAAGCCGGGTCGCCGTGTTTTGGGGCTACGAGCAGACCGCCCAGCCCCCCAGCCCCCCAGTCCGCCGGTGCCTCGGCGACAAGCGGTTCTCGAAGACCATGGCGAAGCGGAAGCCGCGGAAGAGCGCCACCGCGTCCTCGGGCCGCCGACCCGACCCGACCCGGCGGCTTCGGGTCGGAGGGAGGAAGGGAGGAGGGGGAGGCTGCCTTTCTAGGTCCAGTAGGGATGAGAATAAGTCGGTACCCGATGTTTGAAGTTTGCGTCTATGTTAGCAGGGGAGTTTCTCCCAACCAAGTTGGGAGAGAAGAGCACCTGGCTGGGGGACCTAGTTTTTTGAGGGGGCGAAAAACGGAAAAAGTAATTGCAGGCCTTTGGGAAAACTGGGGCCAAATTCTGAGGTACCCCCAACATGGAGGGCAGGTCAATTGTGTTGGTTTCCCTGTCCAGTAAACCAAACGCAGCAACAAAAGACTCCCCTCCTAAAAGACAAGCACCAAACCTGTTGGGCACTATAGATGATAGCCACGGGTCACAAACACTCGGTTGATCAAAGGGAGGGTCCGCATTCTAGGGGGGTCGTTCAAGGGGGGGGGCGCATCTGTATCAATCCCAGCCCATTAGCCCCGCGTCTACAGTTGTTCTCTGCCTCTGCACTTACTAATGTTGACCCCGTATTAAAAGCGCCGGGCGAGCGAGAGCCACACGGGACCTAAGCGACGAACATCCCCCGAAAGGGCCATTTTGCGTCCTACTGCCTGGTTTCATATGAGTGGCGCACACGTGTTTGGGTGACAACAGCAGCATCGACGCTATGCCAGTTTCGCAGCCTTCATTCGGCCGATGTTCGGGGTTCAGCCGTAGCCCAGATGAAAACGCGACAGATCGAGGTCACTCGCGCTGCATGAAGCCCTCGAGATTTCTTATGTCAGGTTGGTGCGTTGTAATGTCGACCCCATAATAAGACCCCAGTTTATTACTAGGGGTGTCCCTGGGTTTAGTCGGGAATCATCACTGGAGGGGAATTTTTTGGCCCAAACCGATGGGCGCCCGGCGTCATAGTAGCTGGCTGAGTACCGATCCGACCTCCAGGCTTGGCGGCTCGCTCGAGCCAGTCTCTCGCCCGTCCAAGGTGTTCCCTGGCCCCTTTTGGGCTGAACCGAGAGCTTTTGGACGACGGCCGTTGTGTAGGTGATATGGGTTCTCTATTTTGTGCCTTTTTTGGAGGGTCCCGACCAAACCCTGAATCTGGCTTTTCTTCGACTCGGGGTGGATCTTCCTTTTCTCAGCTTACTTGGGATGGAAATTGATGGAAAACAACAATGGTTGAGACCTGGGCTAAGGTTCCTCTTTGGGCTTCCTGGCGTTCAACAGGTGTACCTGGTGTTTCGACTTGACCACGTATTCACTAGGCTTTCCTTGTGCCCCCCACTGTGCATGGACAAAATCCTTCACAACTTAGTACGTGCTTAACCCATGTTTGTCCCACAGTTCACTGGGGTAGGAGCGAAATCTGCGAGGGCATCCAGAATTTTCTGCGCGCTGTGATGTCTGCGCACACCTCTAGTCCTCCATGTCCCTACTGCGCGTCAGGGTTGCGAGGAAGTGAGCCATGCGACCCTTCACTGACTCACTTTTTGGGCTGATCCAAGTCCAAAACTTTTGTTAACTTTTCTTGGAAGCACACTTGCACTCACTTCCAATCGAGTGGATTGCCAAAAAGAGCAACCAAACTTTTCGTACCACTCGAATGGTCCAAACCCAAAAAGGTGACGCACGTCCAGGAACTCAAGGAGTGAGTTCAAAGGGAACGGCTTTCGTATCAGAAAAGGATTTGATGGCTGATTATATAAATCGAACCCAGATCCCGACCACCAAACCCTTCATGTTCCCCGCACGTCGCACTCGGCCGTGTTCTTCAAGTTCGGCACTCTTCTGCTTCAGGATCCCATATGGTCATTTTGCCAGTAGTCTGCCTCACTTTCACCAACAATCCATCAAATCTCATGTTCCCAAATCCCCTGCTGAAAGTAATTCACTTTTAGTGGGACAATATCTCAGTTGTTCAGTGACCCTGGGAAAAAAAGGGAACCCTTTTTGGGGCTTGGACCATTTTTAGCGGGGCAGCCACCAAAAAAAAGGGAAAATAATTGGTGCCACTGAACAACTGAGATATGGGCCATTTTTCGGACAAGCACCACACCAACAAACAAACACCACCTAAAAGCCTCTGGAACCGGAGCATTCGCGGGGAACCAAATGGAATACACACGTAGCACGAACGCATCGACGTCTGCAAAGTGTATCTAGGAAACGGTTTGGATGCAACGTTGTGTGGATTTCGGTTGGTTATCTTTTTTTGAGCAATCTTTGAGTTCTCTTTTGATATCCTGCAGGGATGGATCCACAGATTCACCACCTCCAAACCCGTTTTCTAGAGTGTAGCCCAGACTCTCGGTCGGCGGTCCCGCCTCCTCTCCCTCTCCGGCGCATTGCCGCAGCGCGAGAGGCTCTGGCCGGCGAGGCGCGAGGCGAGCTCGGCGCGCTCTCATGGAACCGGGAACTTTTCGGGGAACCTTTTGGGGGTCGAAACTTCCATTTAGTTAAGACCCCTGGAAAAAATAACAAATTAAAAAAGACATCCAGTAGTGATACATTCCGTTTAAAACTAACAAGGGATATTGCTTGTTTTAAATAATATTCTTGAGCAAATGCAAGTACAGTCTGGCCCACTCCCAAATTTGGGTGTTCTCCTCGAAGCTTCTTCCAGTTTGAGAACCAAACTTGGGTCCTCAGCTGGGCTTCTAATTTGAGAACCAATTCCTTTGGCCAAGAGAAAGGAACCAATTCCTTGCGGACAGTGGGAAACACAACTCCGAAATGTGCTCGAGGAGTTCCTGGCTGGCTGAAAAAAGGAACCTGACCCTCCTTGGGCCCATGGTCCTTGCTTCCAAACCTGGAGCTCCACGTGGTGCTTCTGGCATTTCTCTTGTTCAAGTTCACCATTGAGTCAAGCTGGCCAAGGCACCGCTAGAATGCCACCTTTTGTGGAGCCATGGGGCCTACGCCCTGTTGGCTGTGCCGGAGGCGTTCTCCTGGGATCCCTTTGAAAGCAACCCCGAAATGGAAATGGGTGCCCTTAAAATTTTGCCAATGGGTGGTTTTCCTAGTGGCTCCAATGAACAAAAAGGGCATGGGTAACCTCAAAAAACACACCCAAATGAGGTTCACCGCATTTCGGCTGAAACAAAAACTGATCTCAAATTTGGGGCCATGAGTGAGACACGGCTCGATTTCTGAGTGGTGCATGATTGTTGGAGATTAAGAACGTTGGATGCGTAGAGGAAAAACAACAGCAAGCCACATACTTTGAGCGCTCTCCTAATCCCACAGGATGTTTTTGGGCGGTAAGCAGCAAAGTTGCTGAAGGGGTGATTTCTTACTGGGGGCCAGCCCCAGATGCCCACACAAATGGATTGGTCTGCCTTGTCCTTCCTGGAACAAGCTGATTCAATTGAGCTTACCATTGGTTTGGGGAGGACACGGACAAGGGCCCCCCCGATTTTCCAAGATGGGGGGTTGAAAAGCCCTCTCCATGACCATTGGAAATCCCACCTTCTTGAAAACTGGCCCTAAAGAAGGCTGTCCCCGCAAAAAGTGACTAACTAACTCTTCTTCATGGCTTAGATTCGGACACCCAACTCAGTTGTTCAGTGACCCTGGAGAAAAAAAGGGAACCCTTTTTGAGGAAGACCATTTTTAGTGGGGCAGCCACCAAATAAAAAGGGGAAAAAGAATTGGTGCCACTGAACATCGGACACCCAACCACTAAGCCAACAAAAAACAACTTCAAGGACCTCCGGAACTGGACGATTCGCGGGGAACCGCCGAGGAACATGGGACCTGTTGCGCGATCAAAGGCGCCAGCGCCAACGCGTTGCACCAGAGGCGCTCGGAGTAAAAGTTGACCCATGGACAAAAACAAAGGGTCACCACAATGGGGTGCATTCCGAAGTGATCAGGATCCCTCTAGTGTGTGAGATTAACAACCCGCTGGGCTGCTAATCAACCGAACCAGGGCTTCCTGCTTGTAATCAACAAGTTTTCGAACAAACATCTTCATCTCCCTAGCAGTTGGGGGAATCGAAACCAGGGGCTGAGTCTATTCCCAGACTTCGGCTTCGGCTTCCAGCGGTTCCTGAATCGTTCTTCGAGTCCTCTAGGCTGAAGCCTGTGGCACCTGGAGTCTTCCTTTGGGCCCCGAGTGGTGTCACGGAGGGTTCCCCGTTCCTCCCCCGAGGGGAAAAAAAGAAGAAGTCACAAACTCGAATGTTGAGCCCTGAGAAACACCCGGAATTCATTCATCAGGATCCCTCTTGAAGAAGAAGCCATCCGCGAAAACGGGGACCCCCCTGATTTAACCAGGGGGGGTTCATTCGCTGTCACTTCTGTGCAGAAAAGGCCTCCCAAAGACTAGCCAGGGGGAGATTCCCATGCATCACAGCAGTTGGAAAAAAATGCGAGTGACCCAACGACCCCACATCAAAAACCAACGAATCCAAAACACCAATCCAACAAACAAATGACACAGGTACTTACCTGTTATTTTTGTTTGTCTTTTCCTTTTGTGTTTCCATCTCGCTCAAAGAAGCATGACTTGGCGGCCCTGAATTAACGGAACATCGCGCAACCCGGTTACGGCGACCCTTGAGGGCTCTCTGACATGAGGCCTTCACGTACAAAAATCCCCCGCGCACGCGCGCGACCTGACTCAGGCGCCTCCACTGGGCCCAGGCCAGGCGTTGCACGCGCCGCGGTTTCCAGCAGCGAGAAGAAGTGCTCCCCTTGCGCTGCCGTGCCGCGGCTTGAGTCAAGCCGTTGATCAGTGCGAGGAATGCTTTTAGTGGGTTGAATGGAAACCAAACTCAGTTGTTCAGTGACCCTGGAGAGAAAAAAGGGAACCCTTTTTGGGGCTTAGACCATTTTTGGTGGGGCAGCCACCAAAAAAAAAGGGAAATAATTGGTGCCACTGAACAACTGAGTGAATGGAAACCAAACCACTAAACCCTAAACACAACTAAAAAATTGGGGGACGTTCTTTCAGACGGACCGGTCCAAGTGTTTAAACATGTCGCAAGCCTGCCTTGGGGTTGGGGCTGGGCATGAGGTGTGGCGAAAACTTGGGTGTCTGCTCGCCCCCGGGAGTCTTTTTGCGGCTGGATTGGTGTCCATGAGAAGCCCCAGGCTCAAAATAATGGAAAAACAAGCCTGATGTGACCATTGCCTGTGACACACAGAATTCAAACACCCCGCACCAACAAACGTCCCCTTTGAAAAGGCGACCTTTTTGGTGGATTGGGTTTCGCTGGGGGGCACTTCATGCGGCAAATCCACGCTTGCTGTGATAAAGGCATCTCCTTATCTTGAAAAGTGGCAACTTAACCACACAAGTCACGTACAGTCCCGTGATGCAGTTCCAAGTTTGTTTGTGGGGGGGGTCGTAGCCGCATTGCGCCAAACGAACTGTGGAGCCACCGCTCAAGGGAACAAGGGGAATGCCCCATCACGCAGACGCACTCCCCTGTACCCCGAAAAAGGCAAGCAAGCAAGCAAGCAAGCAAGCAAGCATGCAAGTGGCTTTTGGCAAGAGCGCAACTGATCGCAGGCCACAACCACGCGGCCTATGCCGCACATACCAGCCAGCCATCTTTTGAGATGGCAGATAATCACTGGGGTGGGACCTACGCACAAACAACAGCTTGGCTCAGGACTGCCGCGTTTCCTTTTGCGCCCTCGATATGAAGCCATTTCGAAGGGATGCCGGCTAACCGGGCCGTCCTCAGTTCCCCTGCTAACAGCGAGTAACTTTTAGTGGTTTCGTGGAAACTACCAAAAAAAAACACCTAAGGAGCGTGGAAACTACCACCAAAAAAAACGAGCGCCTATAAGGAGCCGGATGCCTGGGAACCACCCAACTAATTTTCTTGAGTGGCTACATCGTTCGGAAGGCCCCTTGGAAGTTGGGAGGCTCAAAGGAAGCTCACTGGATGAAACACTGCCTATAGACCAGGGCTGTTGTATGTCTGTGAGGACATGTCTAAAGGTACGGTGGATGGCCCGAATCTCGCAAGGGGAACAAGAGAACAAATGAGCCTTTGAGGAAACGACCGCGGTGCAGGATTTGGTGGTTTCACAATCTGTCCTCCTACTGTGTGGCTTTGGACCCTTCATTCATCTTGGACCCTTGGATAGGAGGAAGAATTGTTGTTAGATACTCGATCCGGTTTAGTTGTAACAGGGAGTCCACCCCAACCTTTTCCTCGCCTTAGCGGGTCTCCGGTCTGGGCCCTCAGGGCCCTGGCGGTGTGGGTAGCAGCGATAGACCAGGTACGCCACAAAGCCCGGCCGAGCGAGCGCCTCGAGCGGGGTCCAAAAGCACCACCCAAACCGCGCCTTGGCTGCAAGACTGGTGGTTTGGGGTACATGCAACTCCACTTGAATCATGGCAATGTCTAGTCCCAAAATTTAAACATCACAGCAACTCCTCCCGAAGCTACCGGAGTATATAATTGTTGTGTGGCTATATAGTGGTTGTATCTCCCATCTAGCCCCTCATGGTAGTGGTTTCGGGGTAGTGGAAACCATCTTGGACCCACATGACCACTTGGTAAATGGTTCAGCAAGATTGTTTTTTTGTTTGTATTTTACATAACCCACGTGTGAGGGACTAGATCGACTTGCCAATCTCGGAGACACAATGGGCGGGGAGCGTCCAAGCTGCCTTTCAGTAAGTTAAATAGACTTACGCATACTGTGGACGTTTACATGTACTGTTTGTGAACAAAATCCGCTCGCACCACTTTTGAAACTATGGTTGAAACCAAAACATTTGCTGGTAGTTACGCTGGAGAATCGAATCAGACACCAGGGTTTCTGAACGCTGGTGCGTTGGATGGATTTCCATGACCACCAGCCTTGGAAGGGCGTCATCACTGGTGGGTTGGAGCCCGGTGATTGGTGTTCTGGGGCGGTGTCCCTCTACAAGAACCAGGGCTTCAAATGGCTGGTCAAAAATAAGTCCCAAACTAGAACCCTGTCAAATGGAACCAAGGACTAAAAACCAGTGGTCCAATTCCTGGTGGTTTCATTTTGGCTCACAGCCAAATCCGAATTATAATTATAAAATAATAATATTCTATACACTTGATTTATATTATTAATATTACAATTATTAGCTTAATTATGTGATTTGTTTTAAATGTATTATTTTTTTACCATGGAATTCCAATCCGCCAGGTTACCTGACGAACAAATCCGCGAGCTGTCAGCCGCACCTCCACAGTCCGCGGACGCGTCAGCGCCATGGGCGTGTGCATGAGCCGCGCTGCAAAGGAGGTGGACCTGGGTCATGCGGAAAAAAACCGGTTCCTCGACTGGAAACTGGGGGCGGGGGAGGGGGGGGGGGGGGGTGAGATTAAATATACACATGTATGTCTATGTATGTATGTATGTATGTATGCATGCATGTATGTATGTATGTATGTATGTATGTATGTATGTATGTATGTATGTATGTATGTATGTATGTATGTATGTATGTATGTATGTATGTATGTATGTATGTATGTATGTATGTATGTATGTATGTATGTATGTATGTATGTATGTATGTATGTATGTATGTATGTATGTATGTATGTATGTATGTATGTATGTATGTATGTATGTATGTATGTTATGTTATGTTATGTTATGTTATGTTATGTTATGTTATGTTATGTTATGTTATGTTATGTTATGTATGTTATGTTATGTATGTATGTATGTATGTATGTATGTATGTATGTATGTATGTATATATACCGGGAGTAACGTGTAATATATATATATATATATATATATTATGACACTGGCAAAGTAATGTGCAAAACCACAAGTAGCATGCCCCTTCGTATTAATACCCCCTCTGGATCAACGAGGGTCGCTTCCCTTTCTGTCGTTCCAAGCTTGGCCATGGATGTCGAACGAGGCGCTGCTAAAAACGACCGGAAACATGTTGATGTGGTGTTTTGAGGGTGCCCCCTTCTTGTCTCAGTTGCCCAAAGGACCCAGAAATAGAAGGTTAAAATTTGGGTCCATGACTAAACATGGACCAAATGACAGAGCACAAAAGGTCAAAAGGTTGGCTTTGCGCAAGTGAGTTGTTGGTTTAAAGGGAAACCAAAAGGGAAACCTACCAAACAAAATGAGGGGGGCTCCCCCAAACCGCACTCTACAAAAATCGACGGTGGGAACGCTAGGCTTTGCACGAGTCAGAAAGGGATCGTGGCATTGTGAACACATAAAACATATCCACTAAGGGGGCTGACAAATTCCACATTCTCTGAAGAACCCTCAAACAATGGTTTCTTCTAGGAAGGACCCAAAGCATCCGTTTGCATCTTCGGCAACCTCAAGAATCAACGTGTCCGGCAATCATAGTTTTGCCGATCTTGAAAAGCAAAGCATCGTGGCCGTAAAATGAAAGAACAAGGGGTCCAAGTTGTTCTGACCATACCTACAGCGCTTGGATGTTTGCAGGGCACAGCGAAGTTTGACCGAACATCACGTGACAGGAAAGCGGGGGGAGACGGAAGTAGCAACAAACACATACACAAAAGCGAGTGCGATGTCATGGCGGTGTCCGTTCAACAGGGCCTAGGTGATGTTGACACATCCACCAAAGCCTTGCGAACGTGAAGCGCGTGGGTTTGCTCGACAACAAAGCAACCATGTTGAGGGGTGAACCATCCAACTTTGAGGTGTGTCGCCAAGAACTACGAGTCACATGTCTGACAAGGACATGATTAGAGCTAGGCCCAGTTATAGAATATTGTTTACTTCACTTTGCTTCACTTGAGTCAATCAAAACCCGGTATTCAAATGGTCGACCCAGAACCATGCGGATATCCGCAGCTATTTATGGCAAGGGGATTGTCCCTTACTAACCGGATCATGTACCCGAATCGGTTTTGAGCACGTGGCTCACTTGAAAAAATGGCCCTGGTAAATGGAAGAAACCCCGTCAAAGCCAGTGGAACCCATCGATTTTTAATCAAACTAACCTGAAAAGTACACCTATGCTCTCAGCCTAGGAAGGCCGCTGCGAAGCAAATCACCAGAAAAAAATGGAAACAAAAGCATCTTCATCTCCTGAATAGGGGAAAAACTACAAACCGGACCTCCATTTGCTTAAGCCCTAGAGGATCCCCGAGGCCCCGCCCCACCCCAATCCCCAAGCCCAACTTCCGAGCGCACGCGGCGGGTACGGGGAAGAAGTCCGCAAGGCCTCCCGCGGGGAGAGGACCCACCACCTCGGGAATTCCCACAGATCCAAGGGGGACAGTGCTGCCCAAGGTGTATCACTTTCATCTTAAGGTGGGTAATAACTTTTTCAAGGGGATTCTAACTATTCAACAGGTGGGGATTCATCAAAAGGTCCTTTATGATACATGGGATGACCATTGGGGGAAAGCCGTTACAAAGATGGTACATCCCTTTTAAGTGGGAACAGCTACCCATGTTTCTAGGGTTGATTCCTTTTCCATTATTTTCAACCATCCTTCTTTTCCAAGAACCGGATCCGCTTTCCCTGGGTGTCTGGAGGTTTTATAGAAAGATCCGGATCCCTGGAAAGACTGGAAATGGAAGGTACCTCTAGAATTGTAGTTATTGATTCACCAGGGGGCGCGACTCCTGGGGGCTGCGTTTTTCAGATTCCTGAAAGCTGCGTTGTTCATCAACATCCGACCGAAAAACCAACAACAACACCCCCTCTAAACAAAAGAAAACAAACAGAAACAAGAAACCAAGCCCATCATCGTCATCTGCTCGTTTAATTCCCGGGCTGTTTTTTTGGTTGTGGAGGCAAAAAACAAGAACTCATCATCTTCATCTGCTTGTTCGAGTCCTGCGGTTGGTTCTTGTCGGTTTGTTTGTTTTGTGTTTTTGGTGTTGGGAGGCTAAAAACCAAAAACACATATGTGTTTGCCATTTTTTGAAAAGGAAAACAAGCCCATCAACTTCATCTGCTCGTTCGAGACCTGGGGTTGGTTAGAATTATCATTTTTACACATTCATTCTGATTCAAATTATATTTAAACAAAGAAGTTGTGATTGGAGGCATTGCTTCTCAGTGATTGGTTTCATTCTTTATCAAATTATGTTTACGTTCTAATTTAATTGTATAGTTCTGTTGGGAAAGGATCCCCGCCTAGAGTCTAAATGTAAGACGGAATGGGCAGTAGGATTCTGATCAAGTATGTCCTTATTGAGTCCCAATTAAATCATTTTCAATTTCAAACCGATTTTTAAAGAGCGGCTATTGGTGGAGATGTGAATTGAGTACGAAAACCGCGACAAGCCACTGTGTTTTACGGTGTTTTCTGACCATGGTAGTGCTGGGGCGAGTAAGCCAAAAAAACGATTTCGGGACCTCTGAATTCTTTTACTAAGACTAATGTTCGACTAAAATTAAGTAGAAGGTTATAAGGACAGACTCCAATCAGAACTGCTATTGTTAAAGTAGAATTTGAATATTGATTAGTATACCTCAAAATGATTGTTACACAGGAACATGTATTCAACATGTTCGGGACCGAACAATTATTTCCTTATGAAAGCTACTTAATATACTTATCAATTTCTACCTAGTTTCTATCTTCTCACATTGAATGGAGTTCAACAAGGAAAGCATCCAGCCATTTTTGATTGAATTATAATCTGATTAATGATGATTCTATGTCAAAATACATGCTACACAGGAGTTCCTTTCCAATAGCATCGGCTTTGCAAATCAGTAAACATTCACACAGCGCGTATTTAACAATTTTGGGACCTCGAAGTTATTTCTTATGAATTATACTTAATGTATGCATCAAGTTCAACTTAAACTAAGAATAATTAAATTAAGGAGCGAGTCCAATCAAAGGGCACAAACGCAGCCCCCAGAAATCTGAAAAACGCAGCCCCCAGGAATCTGAAAAACGCAGCCCCAGGACGACCCATCCTCTATTGATTTGTGTTTATGATCATTATTATTACTATTGCTGCGGAGTTTGGTTTTGGAGGTTCTGTTTTGACTTGGAGGCTATTCTTCCAACCTAATTGATAAGGCACCTTCCCTACGTTTCCCGTTCCACATTAATGACATGAAGGTGACCTCCAAAGAGCTCACGAAATACCAGGAACATCCAGTTGGTCTCGGTCTTCAGGACTGTGTCACGGTGGTGTTACAGGGAAACCAAAAGAAACAAGTTCTAGTAGTGTTAAATCGATTCCCTTTTAGATGAGAAGGAAACAATACTGAATCTTAAGCAAATGGGAGCATAAGAACCGTGTTCCCTACGCTCCGACAATGTAGATCTCAGCCTTCAAACCAAACGAAACACATTCCTCACCTCCGACCGAATAAATTTGCCAAACAAGTCCAAGCTGTTGCTTACCACTATGGCCTTCCGAAGATGACAGTCCTGGAACTCAGGAGGCGGGCGGACCTGCGCTGAACCAGCGCAGTATGCACTTGCCGGCCAAGCGGCGTGCAGGGCAAGCTACATGTCAGTCCTTTGGATTTTTGTGCGGGAACACGGAGAAAAAGGAAGGATTTTTTGGAGGGTTACACCTGGCCAAAAGGTACCTCCCATGCCGCAACTTGGATGTCGGGCCAAGCCCTCCGGGTCTCCTGTTGGCTTCCGTTCAAAGCGGGGTCCTATTCTGAGAAGTTCTCAACTAGAACGGGGTGGTAGGGCACAAACAACAACGAATCTAGCCACGATCATAGGCAGTTTCTTTTCCAGGGTTGAATTCAGGGGACAAAGAAACGGAAACGGGTGTGTCTTAAGAAAACATTACCCCCAACATGGGTGGGTTCCCTTTTGGGGTCCTTTCAAAACCAACCTAAAAGGGGGTCCCCCCCCCAAAACAGTATTCAAACGGGAAACCCAATAGGTAAACCGATCGGTGCCTCTTTCACGGCACATTGGTGTGCATCTGGTTGTCTTTTTACCCGAAAAAGATACCCTCAAACAAACGTCTACGTGGGTGCCCCCAGATTTCCCCGTTTGCCATTTGTCAAACTGGACACCCACCTGAAAAATGGTCGCCAAACCTTCTAATCAACTTCCCACTAATTAATGCTTGGATGGGTGATACAGGTGATTTGGTGGTTAAGGGAAAACGTTTCCCCCTTGGGGGTTGACCAATATTCCGCTCGGCCCCCAAAGGACCATGGTAACTTGTCGTTGAAATCTCAAATCTTCGCTTCGTGGTTCTCGCCAATGGACCTTCCGATCAACCCCCATTTTGCCGCGACAAGAACCGGCGACCCAAACCAAACCAAACCAGCGAGCTCTCGGCCGACCGCGAGAAGGCAGGAGGCTGATTCGCAAAACAAAAGATATCCCTTTGCTAGGCTGTCCGTTTTCTGATCCCCCGCTAACAGGTTCACGTTTAGTGCGTTAAATGGACATCCCCACTACACACACCAGAAAGCTAAAAAGCTAAGGGGATGGCTGGGAGCCACGCAGTGGTTGGGATTGGTGGTTGGAACGGGTCCCTGGCTGTTGTAGAGAATACATAAATGGGAACAGCCTCCTTAGCGGGCCACCACCAAACCACCGATTCGGCTCCAAACCACCAAACAACGAGGCAAGCTTTAAACATGCTCTGACATGGAAAACCAACACGTGTGGGCCGCTGTTCTTTTCTAGTGGACCCCCAACATGGAGTTCGGGCTTCCTTTCGGCTTCCCTTCGAGAACCAAAAAAGGGTTACCCTCAAAACAAGAAAGCAATGAACCAAGAGATCAACTATCTGCGGATTCGCGGGTGAACTGGAGCTGAAGCAACCAGCCACCAAATACGTCCATTTGCTTATGAGTCCCCTGGAACAAATGAGAAAATATGTCCAGCAGTGATAGATTCCTTTTAAAACCAACAGGGAAAAAGAAAAGGAATCTTAAGCAAATGGAAGAGTATACTGCAACGGTGGATTGGTTGGGATCAATGTTGATTAAGTGTCATGTTGGAAAATGTTTGACAGGGATAGGGAACCCTCTGGGGGATTTCCTCAAGCAGGGCTGGCTGAGGCCAAGTCGCAGGATCACCTTCAATTTGGATATGAGAGGGAAACCTCAAACTGAGCTGATTTGGATGGAAGAAATGAGATTGACATCGGTTTGAACAGCCAGCTACCCAATGGGTTGCAAAATAGGTTGAAGAGTTGGTCCGAGTGCAGCAAGACGCGACATGGATTGAGTGTGACTATCAGAGACACCTTCCAAAAGGGGCTGTTAAACTTTCATTTGCTTAAGCCCCCTTGAAAAAAGGAGAGAATATCGCCAGCAGTGAAATCGGTTCGTCTTAAAACCATCCAGGGGGGGGGAACTATCTTCATTTCAGCAAATGGAAGTAACCTGGGGTGCCCAAATCTTGGTTGACGTTGGAAGGGGAGCAACCATTTAAGTGTTCGCAGTTCAGTGGATTTGGATTTCAACCACTTTACCACAATAGGCAAAAATGCGAAATGTTTCCCAACAACCACCATGAAAATGCGAAAGGGGGTGTTGGGGAAAACAAAACACATGAAATCTTCATTTCAGCAACTGAAAGAAACCTGGGGTGCCCAAATGCCTTGCTTTCGTGGAAAACTTGTCTCCGGATCCTCGCGGATCTACGCTCCCCCGAGCTTCCAGCGATGGAGGCCGGATAGCTCCGCAGCAGTCCCTGGCGCCGATTTCTTTCCGGAGCCTCGCGGGTTCCAGGAATTGCTGTTTTCTCGGTTGTTCAGCGAGCCTGGAGAAAAGAAAGGGGACCCTTTTTGGGGGCTTGGACCAGTTTTTGGGGCCACCAAAAAAAGAAAAAAATGGTGCCACTGAACAACTGATTTTTCAGCTGGACACTGGCCATGTGGAAATGCCCCCATGATTAGAGTTAGGCCCAGCTATAGAATGTAGTTTTATTGTTTGCTTCACTTTGAGTCACTAGTAAAATGTAAAATGTATCCTAAGTCTACCCCGGCCCCATTCTCATTTCTGGGACAGTGCGCCGTGCTTGCGCCGCATCCTGAAGAAAAATAATGGCACGCGGAGCGCTGGCTTCGGGAAAGCAGACTGCCGTCTCCTCCACGAACTAAAAACTTGCGTTCTTAACAGGGTGGAAGTTAACCTGAACGGGTCGGGAGAACGGTATCTAGTAGCTTAGAAGTCACACAGGGCAAACTCGGGGGGTCAAACGTGGCAAGGTCCAACTCAGTCATGAGGTCTGTTTTCCAACACCAGACTCCATTCAAGCGACAACCTTTCAAGTCAGATTCTAAAAGATGGAAGATCAATAACCAACATGTCCCTCCCGGGGTGATTTCAACACCGCTGGCCCAATATTGATCAACCCCCGTTTATTCATATGGGGGTGTCAACCTGGGTTGTGCGTGGGGAATTAGACCACTCTTGGAGGGCCAAAACCACCCCCCTAGTAATAAAGTGAAATTCATGTGGGTTTTTTGGAGGGGCCCGGCCCCCACCTATTCATAAACGGGTTGGTTGAACTAAATATGGGGTCAGCATTCGCCTCTGATGGAGCCCAGGAAAAGGAGGCTACAGGAGATTCGGCTTTGACGCTGACAGATGACGAAAGTCGATGGCTGACGACAGTCGATGGCTGGGGTTGTGCTTGGACCGTGTTTGGGCTTTTGATGGTGCTCGCTTGCACGACCTCAAGCAAGCATGCCTGGAGAAAAGGGAGACTTCCCTTGAAAGTATTGGAAGGGATGTTTTGTATTGGTGACTTTCTTTGCATGGTTCTCATCCCCATATCCTTGAACCCTTAGGTCTGATGCTTTAGCTGGCCGAAGTTCCTTTTCTCCACGCCGCCGCAGCCGAAACTTGCGATCGGTGCGAGAGATGCAGACCCCGCGAAATGGAATAATAAACCATCCAACTGGTTTCCTTCTCCCCCAACCCCCACCCCCAACCGCCCCCACCTATAAGGTTCCATAAAGGAGACCAAAGCCTGAGTTCATTCAACCACGTTCCCTATACCTATCTGCTTGCTGGTGCTCAGTGGGAATGAACCCAGGCTTTGGTCCCCTTGGCAACCACCAGTTAGATGGTTTCCAGGCCTCATTTCCTCATTCCCTGCCTATCGCACCAGCAAGTCTAGGTCCTCCAGTAGAGAGGATAGAATAAGGGCACTCGATTTTTCCTGTGGTCTATTTTAGTAGGGCAACCCTCCCCCCGAAAAAAAGGGGAGAGAAAGAGCACTACTGGGGGACCTAGAAGTCTTACCGCACCAGCCCCGCCGAACCGCGCGCCCCACCCGGCGGTCCGCCTCCTGGAGGCTGTCCTCGGGCGAGCGCTCGCCGTCCACGAAGATCAGCACGCCCCCGAAGTTCACCGGGACCTTCCTCTCGATGCTCCCAGAAATGACACTCGGTTGCTTTCTGCTCCCCTGCTAAAAAATAAGCTTTTAGGGGTTTAATGGAAAACCCATTAGTTGGCAAAAAGTTAAAGTCCTAACATCCACGCAAAATGCACCAAACAAAAAGGCCCGGTTGGTTACCGTGAACCTTTCTAGGTCCCCCAGTAGAGAGATTAGAGTAAGGGTACCCGTTTTGTTTCTTCTTTTGTTTGTTCTCTGTAGTCCATTTTAGTAGGGTTGAACTGACAGCTGGCAAGTGGTTTCTACGTCCCTGGGCTATCCTCAGATCCCCCGCTAAAAGATTAACTTTTCGCGGGTTAAATGGAAATCCCACTAAACACTAAAACACTGAAAAGCTAAGGGGATGGCCGGTCACGAGCTTGATTTTAATGGGAAACGAAACGGAGGACCGAAAGCCATTTTTGAGGATATACCTGATATACCCAGATGGGTGTGTCCTTTCCTTGAGGGTGCCCCTGTTTTGTTTCGGTTGCTTTCTGCTCCCCTACTAAAAGTTTAGCTTTTAGTGGTTTAATTGGATAACCCAGTAGTTGGCGAAAAGTTAAAGTCCTAACATCCAAGCAACATGCACCAAAGTTGTGGTGGGTTTTGGCAAAAGCCTCGGCTCTATGAAGAACACTACCCCCGCTTGCAATGGACCCGCAGCTCTGAGTGGCAGTCAACTTAACAAAAAAGCAGTACCAGCGCGTGAAACAACAAGATCAACACAAACAGCTATGGTCATTTTCCCCATGTTGGGGGTCCACCCTGAAACAAGACAGTATGGGTATATGGCAAAAAAAAGTTATTTGGACCACGGATGTCCGATCGTTCCTTTTGGTGTCCCTTTTAGGAGTGACAGGGGATCGGGGTGTGTTCGTTTTTAGTCCTTTTCAGCGCTGAAAGGGAAACCCAAGGACAAGAAGATCCTTTTTGTTGATTTGGTACTCCAATGGTCAAAAAAACCTTTGAACCCAAGACTTAGCCCGCATTCCGTAGCTGGTCACATTACTCGCCAAACGGGCATAAGGAACATGTTTTTGTTTAAAGTCATCATTGGGCTCGCTCGCGCTCTCACCAAACAGCTGAAAACTCGTTGTGGGTCCAATCCGGAAAATCCGAGCTGCTTCAGCTCGGATGGGACAAGAAAGAATCGGCACCCTTGGTTGACTTTCAATAGGGTTCCTCCAAAAAAGTTGAATTCCTCATTTTGGATTCTTATGTTGTTGGTTTTTTTCACGGACGAAGCGAGCAAGTGAGTGAGCGACTGGAGATTCTAAAGAAAAAGACACCGCGATCCCGGTGTTGTTGAACATCCTCTAAACCCAGGTCGACACCCCCCTATGGATGAACTGGGGAAAAAATCATCAGGTATGCCCTAAACAGGGATCCTTGCATTGTACACCTGAACATTGCAACTTGTAAATGGTGGTTTCCCTTGATTTTGGTGGGAAAAACCATGTTTCAAATGGGCAAGCTGTATCTTTTAAGGAGCCCTGATCCCTAAAATGGGGAAAAAAGGGGCACTGGGCAACTGGGCGTTGGAAGGGCGCAACCCTCTCAAATATCCATTCGCCACGAAGGTTTGAGGCTCCGGCGAGCGGTAGACATAGATGTCGGCGCCTCGGAAGCAACAAATGCGGCGCCTCATCTCCGGGCCCAACAAAAAAGGATCAAAGCTTGCCCAGGTGAGTCATAATTTAAAGAAACAAACAACACAACATCCATTTTTTGAGGCAGTTCTGAATGGCACCCCGAAAAAACCTGAGCACATCAAAAACACTTCAGCACTTGAGTTGTAATCAAAACCGATCCATAGTAAAATGGCCGTGACCCATAACCATGTAAAGAATTATGAAGGCGGCGCCGCCCATTTATGGCGGCGATTGTCCCTTACTCGCTTTGACTTACCTTTGCCTTGGGGTTGTGCTTGTAGAATACTTGGAACCCCGGATTTTGTCAGCTGCTTGAGATTTTGAGGTGATCTTTTCCGCACCTCCAGAAAGACGCTTTCATTTTGAACAGCTCAAGTGAGGAGGTGAAGAGTTCATATGCACCGTGTAATTAGTTGAGAGGTTGACGCCGCTGCGTCCTCAAACTACCACCAAGCAGTGGGGGCACGGCTCCCCTAACCCCCTGCAGAGGCTGTACTTTTCATGTCGACCCCGGAGAAACGCGCCTCTTTCTGGACTCTTGTGGCCTCCTTTGCTAAAGTTCCTCAACCGGAGTCCTCCTGTAGAGAGGCTAGAATAAGGGTGCCCTTTTTTCTGTAGTCTGTTTTAGTAGGGGACCCCTCCCCAAAAAACGGGTAAAGGGGCACCTAGCCGGGAGACCTAGTTGCCATCTCCTCCCGACACCCCGCTGCTCTGCGAGGGATCGCTCGCTCCAGTTTTCTCCATTTCAGGTGCGCTCCTCAGTGTTCAGGGCGCATCTCATGGACTGGGGCTCCGGAGAAAGGACTCGATCCTCGCTTTGCCGGAAAAAACTCTCCGCTTGTTTTTTTTTTGGGAGGCACACCCAACCAGGCAAATCCGGGAAGGGTGCGGGAGTCTGTCAATCTGGTTGGGTTCGAAAAGAAATCTGTTCGACACCGTGGCACAAATATCTTCCAGTAGACGCTTTGGGGTGCGCAACTCGTGCATCAACGGAAACCAGCGCCAACGTGTTAAACTTGGAAAGTCGTACACCCATCCACTCGTAGCGAAAAGTGAAGGGAAACTCAACTGAGGGTGTTGCCAGCTTGTTTTGACGCCGGGATCCAACAAATAGCAACCATACGTCTTTGTTCCGCCCAACAACCCGTCACCGGTCACTTTTCATTGTGCAGAAGGTTGAAACGAGACTTGGCACCACCCCTTGGAGTCCAATTTCCGAAGCCGGTGCACAGAGACCCCTCTACGTGTTTGGTCAAAAAAGCCTCCAGAAGTCGATCTGGTTGAATTTGTCGGGCGGGGGCGGGGCCACGAAATCCCACAAAGCCCGGAAGGAACTCAATCAATTTCCCCCATGTCCTCTTGGGGCAAGTCATCTCCGCTGCTTTAGACTCAGATGCCCAGTGGCCGTGGGGGAAAAAAAGAACGAGGGCGCCCTTCATTGGCTGAGTCTACATGGGAACTCTTCCCAAAGAAAAGGGAAAAAGGGCACCACTGGGCAACTGGGTGCACAGTCACTGGAAACCCCCCGACTGAAAGGTTGGTCAATTTACCAGTGGGAGCCTCCGAAAGGGGGAATAGAGCTTCCCCCTTTTGGAGGCAGCCGCTCGCAACCTTCGGCTGCTTTGGGCCGGTCTTCGGCCCGAGAACATCGCATCTCGGACTCGCCTTGGGCTTGGGCCCAGAGAGACCGGGTGGCCGCTTCTTCTCAGTTGTTCAGCGACCCTGGAACAAAAGGGAACCCTGTTTGGGGAAGACCATTTTTAGTGGGGCAGCCACCAAAAAAAAGGAAAACGGGTGCCATTGAACAACTGAGATTTGCAGTAGCATGAACAGCAACGCAATGTGAATGGATCATTTCAAATTTCATTGATTGGGCTGAAATGATTGGATTCCATTGGACAGGATTTCCCCAGCAATTAGGCATCACCCCGAAAAAAAACAATGGGTTTGGTTCGCTTCCATAATAGGGTAAGAGACAAGCACTTCGAGCAACTGGAGACCTTCGCTGTCAGATTCCACGATTCTGTCTTCTAAGTAACGCCGCTCCTCTCGCTCCGGGTTCCTTCTTTGGGCACCCCGAAAAAAGGAAGAGACATTGCACCTCCCTGTTTTGGTCTGGACATGCTTGGACTGTCTGCCTTTCGAAGGGGCCCTTCAAACCAAACTTCAGGCGGGACTGGCACATGCGCGCAGGTCCCAATTCAGCATCCTGGCGAGGATTTGTTGTGATTCAAATGCAGGCTCGCATTGGCAAGGACATGGTCTTCAAAAGTCCTTGCTCGGTTGCTTTCTGCCCCCTGCTACAAGCTTAACTTTTAGTAGTTGGATGCAAAACCCATTAGTTGGCAAAAAGTTAAAGTCCTAACATCCAAGCAAAATACAAAGCTTGATAGTCAAGATGGCTCTTACCAAAACTTCCAAAGGACTCAAACGACACTATGGTCTATCAGTTGGCCCCATTAGAGACAACTGGCCCTTGTTGCAATTCACTTACGCTCCAATCACCAAATGATCAAACACATATTCATGCGTGAACAAGCGCTGTGGTCAAATGCTGGTCCTGCGCCGAATTTATCTGCTACTTTAAGTAAAGCCGCACAGTCCACCAATCAACATGTCTGTCATGGTCCAATCTCCGGCTCTGTAGACCATGATCATTTGTACCCTTAGGACTGCTTACATGGGTGTGGTTCGAAATTAAGCCAGAATCGGACCGCAGGTTTTAGTCTTTGGTTCCATTTACCGATCGGGCAACCCATTTTGGGATTCCCCTACTTTTGACCCACAGCCACATTAGTTGGCTTCAGCTCTCTTTGCCGACTCGTTCATGCACCCTACGGTGATTGTCTTGCTGGTGCTCGGAAGGGAATGAGGGAATGAGCCCCATAAACCATCCCTGCTGATTTCCTTTGAGGGATTCCTTGGGTTCATTCCCAACACCCTGGGTCATTCCCTACTGAGCGAGCAAGTTTTCCCCTATTCGAATGTGAAACCTGACAAAAGGACCTTTTAGAGTAACAAATCTTTGAGGGTAATGAATACAGCCCCTGCCCTTGTGCGCGTGAACCCGGGTGGGTCCCTGCCTTTTGTTTTGGAGACAGGTCCCAAGAAGGCTTAGGTTCCGCTACTCTTGCGAGAAGGTATTGGACACAAACATTTTACAGGGACAGGTGGGAGCATGGCAAATCCGGCCGACCAGACTCGAAGGCGGTTCCCCTGTTCGTGGGAAAGTGACTTCGCGTGGTGTTCACGCTCCTCCGGAATAGTTTGAGGGTAACACCTCTGACTCTGGGCCACGAACGTGGAACCCACCAAAGGGTTCCTTTCAAAGGAAAGTGGTATTCTAGGAACCCCCCTGTGAGGTTCCTATGTGGATGGAGGGCGCATAATATATACATATAAATATATATATATGTATAATATACTATGTAGATGTGTATATATACATATGCATATACATAGAGATAATGGAGATGGGTGATTCTTAGCTAGCTTAACTGCGGACCCCTTGGTGGCTATGATTTAGGTGGCCATTAATGTCAACTCATAAAATTCAAATCGCCATCTATAGAACAGTTTATCTAGTGTGGGGTGTGAGTATTTTGGGCACCTCAACTCCGATCGAGTAGATTGGTCAAAAAAACGAAGAAGCTCCAAACTCTTTAGTTACTGCTAAAGGGTCTTCCCAAAAGACAAAAGCCCCGGAACTCAGGCAGGAAGCGAGGCCTTAGATACTGCGCCTAGATCCGGCCGGGAGCTTCCATCTCCCCCCCGCCCCCCGCGCCCCCGTCGGTTTAAACGCCTCAGGGCTGACACGCGGAGCGCGGCCGCAAGGGCTCCGGCCTGCGAACGGTGCGAAGGCAGAGTCGCTCGCCGACTGCCGGGGTGGTTGTCCACTTTTTTTTGGATTGGACCTCCCGAAATCCTTCTGGGCTCCCTTTAAAATCAAAAAAAAACAAAGGGTTCCGTGGTTTTCCCTAGAACAAAGACACGATCAGGGGGCCTGCCCGCAAAGGACAAGCCCATGGTTGAAGGTGGGTTTTTGGCTTGCCAGCCTCTGTGAGTGGCTAAAGGAATCCCTGCAAAAGAGATAAGTAGAGGCGGGAATCAAGCACTCATCCAGAAAGGGTAAAAGGTGTGTGTTGTTAGTTCAGTTTAGTAAACTTGGCGGTTCCCAGCCATCCCCCTAGGTTTTCAGGTTTTTAGGGGTCACAGCCCAAGGGACGGTTGCCGATCGGTGCGGTGCGGATGTCTGCGATGTATTACGAGTTTTGGGTAGACCACTTTGCCAGGTTTAATGGCTCTTGGGCAAGAGTCCAAATGTATTCCACTTTAGTCCCTAGCCATGTCCATGGTTTTGATGATTTGGGGGGGGGGGGGGGGCACTTCACTGGAAAATCATTAAAACGTCCCTTCCTACCACAAGCAGTAGGGGGGCGAGTGAATCATAAGTTCAACATGTTCAGGTAGGAGTGCAAAGATAGAATTGGCGGTACAGGTTAAAATTTCTGCATTAGTCGGGAAGCGATCACGTTCCAAGCTGCGAAAAGGTGACTTTGGTTGAACCTGGCCATTCAAAGTTGACCTTGCAGCGCGGCGGTCATTACCCACAACCAGTGATCTAGTTTGGTCGAAAAGGGGTCCAACTCCGTTTGGTGGATTCCCTGCTTAATGTGTGTCCCGAATCCAAACAAAAACAAAGAGTGCCACTCCCCCTGCGGAGCTGAGTTTTGCGATACCGGTTTTGTAGGGAAAACTCTTTCAAACTCGGCGTGAGGAGAGCCGGACTGGGTCTGACAAAATCGACCCCCAGCAGATCTTTCAGGAAGCGCCGACAAAAACTTGGGCAGGGCCTCCTGAAGGAACTTGTCGAGTCTCAGAAAACCCACTGCTCTGATTGGTTTCACGTCCCCAAGCATGGCATTTATATTTTCATGATACATTTTATGCATCACATCGTGGTCTGAC